TTTTAGAAAGGAAATCTTAGGATGCTTACCTTAGCCTAACTTGTATTAAGTACGGTTAATAGGAGGAAGGTCTTAGGAAGGAGCCTATTATCTAGATACCTACTGTATCCCATTGTTTCTGAGTTGTCTACCAAGAATTTGCCTGCAATGAGGTTCTGTTCTTTCTCTACATGTAAATTGCCCTTATTTTCACTTCTGAAATCTAAAACCTCTTCTTCTCCTTTTCTCCTTTGTCTAAAATATCATATATATCCAATGTTGCCTTAGTGTCTTTGGAATTTTCATGCTTATGTTAATTCCTCATTCACATGTATTACAATTTTTCTCTTGTTAATCTGTCTCTAAGTGCTAGAAGCACTTAGAATGTGGGAGGGAAAGTATTATTATGACATAATAAATTACCATGAACTGAGCTGCTTAATCAACATACACTTCTTATCTTGGAAGAGTTCACTTCTAAGCGGCTCATTCAGGCTGTTGGCAGAATTCAGAATTTCCTTCTCATGCTTTCCATGTAGCCCCCTCCACATTCAGGCCAGCGCCACTGAGTTGAGTCCTTGTCATGCTTCCCTTCTCAGACTTGCCTCCCTATCACATCTCTCTGGTCTCCTTTTCTACCTTCTTTTTATGCTTTTAGGGCTCGTATGATTGCACGAGTTTGGGACCTGCTAGATAATCCAGGCTAATCTTGCCTATTTTAAGGTCAGCTAATTAGTGATTTTAGTTATATCTGCAAAGTCTCTTTTATATGTAAGAAATGTAACCATGCAGTAACACTAGCAGGCGAAGGTCACAGGAGCCAAAATTCTGCTTACCATATCCATGGACAGAATTCAAGAATATCATGAATTTAGGGGGCAAAACAATTAACTCTATTTTCACTAACATTTCACTGACAAGTATTGTACTATTTCCTTCAATTATGAGTGTTGGCAACAAAGGCACAGTAATATTGCAGTATTAACAGTAAATCTTTCACCATAATAATCACAGGTATTCTTATAGTATTACAGTTAATGTAGATAAACTTGAAATATCATTTATGTCCATCAGTTTCAAAATCAGACCTGTTAGATCTGCTACTAGATCTAATTTATTGTTTTAATTAAGAGATAGATTTATTTAAAATTTTTTTGATAACTTTCACATTGAATAAACTTTCTTCGTAATCTTACATATTTTATTCTAAGAAGGGATCTATTGGCTCCACCAAACTGCCAAAGAGATCTGCGACATAAAAAAAAAAAAAAGAATTATCTTAGGAATTATATTCCTTTGTATGGTTCAAATTAGGTTACTACCATTTCTACATTCCAATCCAAGCAAATGGAGAGAGATAAAGGAATTTTGGAGTAAGACGTTCCTTCAGGTAGAACTTGCATACAATATTTCTGCTCATATGTCATTTTAAGAACTGAAACATGGCAGCTCTTAGCTGCAAGGGAGGCTGGGGGAATGTATTCTCCGGGTAAAAACCTAATATCTAGCTACATATTACTAACAAGAAGGGGAAACAGAATACAGGGGATGACCAAGAAAAGAAAAAGAAAACCAATTACCTGATTTACAACTTAAGTGAATAATAGGTACCTTTCCTAAACCAACATAGTTATGTTAGCCTAAAAATAGAAGGCCAAAGTGGGAGGCAACAAAGCATTTATTTGATTTCAAGTGTAGCTATTTGGAAAGCATTGACTAGGAGGTAAAGGCAAGGGGTATTTATGAGAAAGGAAGGGGAACAATTACATGAAGAGAAGAAATTTCTATAGGTACAGGTAAGCTAACATAGTGATGCTAATTCTAAAGAATGTCTTTAATTTTGACACTTTCCTGTTATCAGGAAAGTGACTACTTTCCTGGTAGTCACTTCCACTTTCCTGTTATCTTTGCAAACACTTGTGTAGAATACAATGCTGCTTTAAGGCCCAATCCAAAGGCTATTTTGTCCTATCTTTACATTCCAAATGGAGTAAGATAGGCAAGGCAGTTCCTCTGGGATGGCAGCTCTAACTGAATTTTGCAGGGTCTCCATTTATATTATTTTTTCACAATTTCTTACTATAGATAAGTTAATAATGTAATGCATTTTTCTAAACCTGTTTTATAAGTTTCAGAGTTAACAAACTTTTGAGCTAAGTATTATGCTCTTGAAAAATTGAGATAGGACCGATAGTCAAAGTAATCTGACCTAAGAGAGCCTTTCCTTTTGCATGTTGGGAAGCACAAGGAGAGGATCTATAATTTTTTACAGGGGACATAGCAAAGAGCAATCTAATCTTTTAGGGGAATCTTTCCCCAGCCTGATCAGATGGATAAAAAGAATCTTTGCTTGGCATGCTGAGTTGTAAATATAAGAAAGAGAAGGCAATGTAAAGCCCAAAACTTGATTAAGCTCACTTTCAGGTCCTGGATTCTTTGCAAGTCTGCTTCCTGGTTACTCCTCAGGGCTGCTATATTGATTAATGTGTTCATGCAGGAATGCCCGAAGCTGGAGAGAACTTTTATAAGAGCTTATTTGAGCCAAACTAATGACAAGTCTGAAAGCAAGTTCTCAAATGCTCCAGAGAATGAGTTTTGCCGTTCTTTTTATGTTTGGAATTAAGGAGGGAATGTAAGTAAGGTTACATAAAGGTGGGAGAAAGCAAGGTGGGAAATCTCTGTGCTGTATTATGATAGTTTTTGAGATCAAGTGCTCCCTTGAGAATGGTTACTATTAGGTCTGGAATTTCAAAGGTGTGTAACCTCAATGCACAAGAACAATAGTTGGGGCTTGCTTAAGGCAAAGATAAACCTTTTTATAGACCTGGGGAGTGACTATCCACCATGACCTACCCAGTTAGGAATGTATGATCAGATCACCCTTCGGGGTTCCTTTAAGTCACAGAGTTTGTCACATTTATTACATAGCCCCCTTTCCATTCACAATGACAGCTGTATGTTAGGATTGGTGAAAAAACGAAACACTTTTAGAAAATCAGACAAACTTTACTCATCTAAAGAAGACAGGAAAGTATCAGTGCAAATACAGATAAGGACACACGGCAGAGAGATTAGCAACTTTATCCCAAATAGACTTGAAATTTCCTGGGCATTAAGCCTTCCTGAAGATGTGAAGCAGTGGGGTTTCTATCAGACTTTCTGGCAACAAGAGTCCCTCTCCCTTTAGTTCATTTCTGCTTGCTGTCCTGTGTGGCTTAGGTTCTGGAAAACCTCATAACTGAGCCAAATGTGTCAGCCCAGGTTCCAGGATCTGCTCTAGGTTGTATATTAATTTATGTAACTATTTCAACAATCCTGTTAGGTAAGTATTAGTGTTATGTTTGTTTTACAGATGGGAAAACTGGGCAGAGACAAGTTGATTTTCTCAGGGTTGTACAGAAACTGGAAAAAGTGGTATTCATGCTGCCTGTCACTATCAGACCCAATAAATAGAGACAAGGATTGAATCTTGATGGGCTTTTTTCAATGCTCAAGATCTGAGAAAATGGAGGGTTATGTATATATAAACTGTCTTAACATCTCATCTCAAGCTGACCTTTTTAATAAGGAGAAGAAAAGGGTAGGTAAGGGGTTTGGAATTCAGGAAAAAGTAGGTAAGGGGTTTGGAATTCAAGGAAAAACATGAATCAGATAAGAGCTGAAGTCCAGTGATTTTTCTAGCATCCTTTCATCTGTTGACTGGCCATTCTTTATCTGAGTCCTGGTCAGAGAACATTCTCTCCCTGGAGCACAATGTCTCAGATACCATCCTGATTGCTTACAGCCCTCCTGGGGTACAAAGGTTGAATTGCTTGCAAGCCTCCTGGAATCAGACTGGTGGGGGCAGTCATGTATTCCAGTTACTGGAACTATAGCTTTCTACATGCTTTAATCACTAAACCTATTAACTATAACTAAAGCTAAAACTTTTAACTCTTAAGTTCCCCCATCAGTATGTCTAGTAAGTGGAAGAGCCAAGATTTGAACCTCAAGGGCAAAGAAATACCCTGTTCTTTATTCAAGAACCAAACACTTTTGCCCGTTCGCATACAGGATTCCCTTATTTACTTCCTTCCGTAACCCCTCTATTAAAAATTTCAGCCCTGGCTGGTGTGGCTCAGTGGATTGAGCGCGGGCTGTGAACCAAAGTGTCACAGGTTCAATTCCTAGTAAGGACACATGCCTGGGTTGCAGGCCACACACGGGCCCCCAGAAACAGCACATTGATGTTTCTCTCTCTCTCTCTCTTTCTCCCTCCCTTCCCTCTCTAAAAAAATAAAATAAATAAAATCTTAAAAAATAAAATTGCATTAATCTTTAAAAAAAATTCTTACAAAAAGGAAAGAAAAGAAAAGAAAGAGGTCTATTTTTTTTAGAAGTTTCCTCTGCATTAATGGACGTTCTCCCTACTGCAACAGGAAAGGAAGGAAGGAAGGAAGGAAGGAAGGAAGGAAGGAAGGAAGGAAGGAGGGAGGGAGGGAGGGAGGGAGGGAAGGAAGGAAGGAAGGAAGGAAGGGAGAGGGAAAGGGAGGAGGAAAGAAAAGAAAGACAGAGAGAGAGAGAGAGAGAGAGCGAAATAAAGATTTTCCCCTTATGCTTTACTTGCTGCACTTGCTTTCACAGGTTTTATGGAGAGTTTGCAGACCTTATAAAAATTGATTCACTGGTTATGAGACGAACAGCAATAGCCAGAGAATTTTTTAAGAAACCAACATTTCCAACCCCACTTTAGGCCTACAGAATTGGTGATTTTGCAGATGGGTCGCTTCAGGCAATCCCTTTCTAACAGTCCAGTACCAGCGATTCTGATGCAAATTAAAAGAAGGTAACTGCTGAAGTTTTTCTCCATCGGATGCGCGAATTAGCTTTGCAAACATCCGCTCCCTCCACTGGAGGGCGGGCCTGGCCGCCGCGGCTGCTTATCCGGGTTTCACTAGGACCGCGGTGGCGCCGCCCGCGCCCGTGGGGCGGGGCCCAGCTGATCCCGCAGCCCGGGTCGGGCCGCTGGACCCGCCCCTGAAGGCGGACCAGAGTTGACTTAAACTCTGGGACCCGGGAGGCCAGCTCGTCCTCCTCTGTTACGTCTGAAGGACTCCGCGCTCGTCGGTAAGTGTGGGACTTAGTGCTTGGCTGCCCCTCGCTCGCGTTGTCGGGTCCAGCCGGCTGCGGACACGGAGAGCCCTTCCAGCCCCGAGAAGGGGCAGGGCGCGCGCGCGCCCGCCCGCCGAGCGCTTTTGTTCTGAGGCGGTGACGGAGTCGCGCGGCGCTGCGGGCGCCCGGGCGGTTCCCGGCCTCGAGAGTCCCGCGGGCTCGCGCTCCCCGCGCCCGCCGCCCCGAGCGCGGCCGGCGGGTCCCACCCGCCGCCTCGCTCGCGGTGCAAGAACGGCTCTGGGCAGCCGACGACCCGAGCCTCAGCCCGAGCCCGAGGGCGCCACCTCGCCGACTGTTCTCCTTCAATTGCCTCACTCCTCACGGTGGAGGTCGCGGGTGGCGTCTGCCAGTACCCATTTTGTGCAACTACAGGGCGTTTGGTTAGGTGGGGTGATGTCTTCTGTTCTTAATTATTTCCTGTCGCTGGCGTGAGAAGAAAAATCTTTGTTTTGCACTTACTGTGGAGCGAGCGTTCCCTTCCTCCCCACTCCCATTATTCTATGCTCCTCCCGAAACAAACGCTCCGCCTGCATCTCCAAGTGGCCCGCGGACGCTTCTGTGCGGGAGACGTTTTCGCTCCTCCGCGCTAGCTCGTTCCTAGAGGCATTTTTAAATGCATCCTGGTTTTAGGTATCCTTGAGGGGCTTGGATTCCCTCAGCACATGTCCTTCGGGTCCTGAGTTCAGCAGCAAGCTTTCTGGGAATCGTTTCGGTGAAAACAATTTATTTGTAACACTTTCAGTGCCCGTCTCTCAGGTAAGGAGAACGGCAGGTGATGTGTGAGCCCGGGGCGCATTTTAACGGGGCGGTCGCAGAACGCAGTGTGTGAATCTGAGGGGGACCCGGTCGTCGCGCGGAGTCCTCCCTGAGGCGGGTGAAATGAGTGTGCCTTCACAGAGTTGGGGGGAAAGGGGCTGGTGATTCCCTCTAGTGGAGAACGCCCCAGCGTTCTTCTCCAGAACGCGGTGTGTGCAGGGAGTATACAGCGTGCATGCATAGCTCATCAATCAATGTGCAAAGGCGGTAGTTATAGAAAACAGATATTATCTATAGATAACATTTGAAGGAACATAGAGATCTGACTCAGGTCAGGGTCTGTTAGACATGCTGACGCCAGAGGGTCATTGAGGCCTGGTTCCTGTGACTTGGAGTTCGCTCCCTTATGCTTTGAATTTAAAACATCTGGTTTATACCAAGAGGGCTACACAAAGCAAAGCAAGCTGCAAGGGGTACAGTGCATTTTTTAGGCCTGATTTCCCTTGCTTGTGCGGGGCTATAGTCTCTTGATACCACACAAAGTGGTCCCCAACATTTTGGTTCCTCAGCAATAGCTCTCTTCTAGAGGCATTTTGAAATGCACAAAATGCATCCTGGTTTTAGGTTTTCTTGAGGGGCTTGGATTTCCTCAGCATCTCAGCACCGTAGGGTCCTGAGTTCAGCAAACTTTCGGGGGTATAGTTTCAGTGAAAACAATTTATGTGTAATTCAATGTCTGTCTCTCAGGTAAGGAGAACGGCAGGTGATGTATGAGCCTAGGGTACATTTTAATGTGTTGGGTCACAGAACTCAGTATGTAAATCATTGAAGTGTTATTCAGTATTAACATGCACAGATGTTAAGATTTTAGTTATTTATATATTTTTTCTTGTACAGTTGGATTCTCTTTTGCTGAGCTGTTAAAGAAAATTGCTAAGGCCAAGTTCTTCTGTTTGGGAATGCAAGGGCAGTAGTGGACCTGGAGAAGGGCACATGAATTGGAATTCTAACTTGAAAAGTGAATGGCATTTTAGGCCAGACCTAGTTTCTGTTTAGTTTCTTTGCATACTTCAGAATTCAGAAAACCTAGTAACAGTTTTTGTGCAACTTCAAGTAACACCTTTGCACAGCAATGTCATATCAAGTGAACAGATTAACATATACTTCTATTATAAATTTGATATAAAGGTGATAAATTTTATATGAGTGATTATTATATAACTGCTCTTCCAGGGTCAAAGAAGTAAACATTGTGAAGGACACTGACATGCTTGGGGTGAAATTGCAAAATATACAGTGATGAAGGAGTAACACCTAATTTAAAGGTAAATATGCCACCTTTAAGTAGCCTACTTTAATATATCTGTTATGGAACAAAATTACTAATGAAATGAATCAGCATTGGCTAAAAACTAAATTCTAGGACACAATGGGTTTGATGACAAAACTTTGAAAAAATATGGTTGACTTAGTAGTATGGAGTAATCAGTTCATCTTTGCAAGATAGGGAAGATATTTTTTTATGCTGAGGTGACTGGTCCAAGATAGTAAGGCAGAAGTCTACTTAAAATTATTCTATATATGCTTTGTTTCTTTTTGGTAGTTTTTATTTATTTTTTTCTGGTACATGATGTTGGGGAAAGAGCACAGAGTACAACTCTGGGAGACCCAGTCCGTGACATAGATAGCAACTTGCAAAGCCAAAATAATCATCTCCAGAGCTTCTTCCGTCTTGTAAAAAAACCGAGTGTTAGGAAACCTAGTGTGATGAGTAAGACCATGGTGCTTGCAATTGGACTACTGAGCTTCAGATCTTGGCTATCCCACTTACTCTCTGTACAACCTTGAGAAAATGTTTAACTTCTCTGTCTCAGATATCTGATCTGTGAAATGGGGATATGGTACCTACCTCATAGGATTGTTGTCATAACAGCACACTTGGAACAGTTCCTGGCACGTGGTAAGTGTTCAATAAATTTTATCTGTTGTCATGTTAGAGGAAATATATTTTATGGCCTAAGACACTGCATTATACAGAATTCAGTTTACTGCATTATTGACTTTGTGTTAAGTTTTTAACTATAGATCTGTTGTTATGAGTTTTGTTTTATTAAGGAAGTATCAGACACAACTCTAGTTTTCCTGCAGGCTTATTTGAAATCATAAATGCCTCTATTAAGTTATCCACCCAGAGCAAATTGCCCCAAGGCTTTGCTATTCCATACTACTTATGTGATGCTCTGGAAGCTCTCTTCCCTTCCTATTTGTATTATGGTCTTGGACACAATGGGAACATAAATGTTTAGAGAATTTTTCTAACTTAATGTTTAAAAAGGCATTTTTCAAGGTGAATTTCATGAGTCTTTTGTCTGGCCAGGCCTTCACCCGCCCCCCTTCCCCTCACTGGAGGCATACTGTGTGAAATAGAAAGTTTTCCACATGAGATAAAGAGACAACAATTCACCAACCCTGTTTATAGAAATGCAGGTCAAAATCAACTTCATAATAAGCCTTATAAAGAAGAAATTAGTCATGTGGACCTTGAAGAATTCTAAATGCTTTGTTGGAAGGCAGCTATGTAGTGTGTCTATTCTTAGTACCCTAAATTGACAAGCAATGTTGGCCTGTTGAAGTAAGTGCCTCAAAGTGAGATCTTGCCTCATAGTTACGATTGCAGAGATTTAATGACAATTGCTTAGATTCTCTTAAGATGCATTAAATTACAAGACTATATTTGTAAATAAAATTTTACTTGTGGTTAGAATCTATACTTACATTTTAAGAAATAGCAATTGTGCCCTGGCCAGTGTGGCATAGGTAGTTGGAGCGTTGCCCTGTACACCAAAAGGTTATAAGTTCGACTCCTGGTCAGGGCATATATCTAGGTTGCTGGTTGATTGCCATTTGGGGCGCTTACAGGAGACCAGGGGTCCCCAACCGCCAGGACTGTTAGGAAAAGGGCCACCCTGTAGGAGGGGCAGCACAGCAGGAGGGAGTGCTCACATAGCCACCTGAGCTCTGTGTCCTGTGTCCCCACCCCACCCCCATGGGAAAATTGTCAAAATTGTCTTCCAAGAACCTGATCTCTGTTGCCCGAAAGGTTGGGGACTGCAGCAGGAGTTAGATACAATCAATGTTTCTCTCACATCGATGGTTCTCTCTCTTTCCCTTCCTCTCTAAAATCAAGAAGCATTTTTTAAAAATTAAAAAAAAAATAGAAATCATAAGCAGAGTACTGTTTTTAAGCTCCAGAAGAAAATTTATTGCATCACATAATTTATATATCATGTAGCTCAACCTTCAGGTTTGGCTTGATCCAGCATCTGAATCTGAAATAAAGTTTTTAAGATGTGAGACACTGTCTTTGAGCTCTGCTGTCTTCAGCTTTGACTTTATTCTCAGGCACACCTCCCTTCATTGGGTGACCCTAGAATATCTATGTATCTATTGATAAAAGAATGTTCAAACCTATACAAGAAAATTTATAAGAGTTTATTTGAGCTTGAAGACATGAATGGAAGCAGGATTCAAAGGACTGAGAAAATGCTCTGGAGAATAGCAGTTTTGCTCTTTTCGTGCATTTGGAATAGAAGGAAACGGATTACATTGGTGGTAGATAATGGAGGCTGGAGAAAGCAAGGGGGAAAGTCACTAACATTGGATAAAAAGTAAAATGGAATGATAGTTAAAAAAAAAAGTAAAATGGAGGGGTACATACATTGGTGGGTACCGGAAGTTACCATGTACCATAAATAGGGATTGCACACAGGTAACATGATCCTTGTGCTCCCTTGAGGGTGGTTATGCCTCCCAGGGTCTGGAAAAGATAACTCAGGAATTTCAAAAATGCCCAAACAATGGGTAGGGCAGAGCTTGCTTAAGGCAAAGATAAACCTTTTACTAAAGAAGGCATTGGCCTATGGTGTGACTTCCTACCATGACTTACCCAGTTAGGAATTTATGATCCATCATCACGTGAGGTTACTTTGGTCACCAAGCTTGTCAGACTTTTTACGTGGCCTTTTGTTCAGGTATCTAATCAGCTTCAACTTGCCAAGACCATGCCTTTTTGTCTGCTTGTTCTACCGAAAATTTAAATTTCATTGGCTCTCATTTGGTCATGTGTCCCATGTCTGTGCTAATAGGAAAATGCTGTTTGGATTTTGGTTTTGGTTGGTTTTTAAAAAAACTCAATTAGAGATGTAATTCAGTTAGCTCATTTCATCACCACAATCAATTTTAGTGCATTTTATCTACCTTAAAAAGAATCTCCATATTCAGTATGCGGACACTCCTTATCTTCCCCAACCCACTAATTCCTAGGCAACTGTTAATGTAATTTGTCTTTAGATTTCTGAACATTTCATGTACATGAAATCACGTGGTCTTTTGTTACTCTTTGCTCCCCAAGCACAATGTTTTAAGGTTCATCCATGTTGACTTATATATGTACATCATTCCTTTTTATTGCCAAATAATACATTGTGTAGGTATGCCACATTTTGTTTTTATCCTTTCATAAGCTAATAGACATTTGTTTAATCAATGTCTATCCTATGTCGATACCAGATGGTCTTGTTTACTGTTAGTTTTATAGTGTTAAAATTAAACGGAATAAATTCGAAGATCTAATTGGCTTTATTGAAAGATTTCATGATTCAGGCATGATCCCATCTAATAGAAAAGTGCTCCAGGAAGTTGTGGGAAATTAACGTAATAATATTTCACAGCAATATAATAGAAAAATTAAATAAGTGGAAAATGAAGGATTTTATAGGAAACTGGTTGAGGCAAGAAAGTTAGTAACAACCAATGGAAGGATCAATTTAGGCAAAATCAGCTGACTTGGGGGGAGGGGAGGACAGCAGAGATCTTTTCCAGCAGATTACCTCACTAATTGTAATTACATCAGGAAATTCTAATCCTGGGAGGGGCTGAAACGGCAATTCTTGGTTTGTTGGGGGAGGGGGTACTGTGGTTCTGGGGAGCAAGTGACCCACATTTAGCTTGTTGATTGTTTTTCTTTGACAGTACTACAGTAGTTAATTTTGAAATTGGGAAGTATGAGTCCTCCAACTTGACTCTTTCAAATTGAATTTTAGGGTCAGGTTCTCCATTTTTGTAGAGACCTGGGATTTTGTTATTTTGCACTGAATCTGTAGGTCAAATCAGAGTATTGCCGCCCTTACCAGTATTAAGTCCTCCAATCTAGGAATGGGGGTTTACTTTCCCCCAGTTTTTTATGTCTTTAATTTCCTTTTAGCAATGTTTTATTGTATTCAGAGTGTAAATCTTTTGTTGTTTATATGAAAGTTTTTTATCTTTGATATTACTGTAAATGGGTTTTTCTAGATTAAATGTTTTATAGAAATGCACTTGGTTTTTATGTATTGAGCTTGTATTAGACAACCTAGCCAAACTAATTTATTAGTTCCGTGAGTTTTTAAGTGGATTCTTTAACAATTTCCTTATATACAAGATGATGTCTTCTGCAAGTAGAGATAGTTTTACTTCTTTATTATCAGTCTGCATGTCTTTTACTTATTCTTTTCACCTAACTACTCTGGTTAGAACCCATAATGCAGTATGAATAGAGCTGGCAAGAAAAGACATTGCTTGTTCCTGTCTTTCAGGGAAAGCATTCAGTCTTCCACCACTAAGTATGTAAGCTGTGTTTTTTGTAGATGCCTCTTATCAATAAAATTGAGGAAATTTTCTTGTTTCTAGTTTCAGTATTTTATCATGAAAAGGGTGTTGGGTTTTAAGGTGCATTTAATTTAAATCACATTACATGTTGACTTCATCTGCTGTGATCATGTGATTTGTCCTTTATTCTATTGATATGTTGCATAACATTCAGTTTTTATCCTTAATGTGGAACCAATCTTATATTTCTGAGATAAGTGCCATTTGGTCATGGCATGTAATTATTTTTATTTGCTGCTGTATTTGGTTTTAGTATTTTGTTGAGGATTTTTGTGAATATTCATAACAGATTGGTCTGTGGTTTTATTGTGATTTCTGGTTTTGGTATTATGGTAATATTGGCCTCAGAGAATTGAGTTGGGAAGTATTCCCTCCTATTTTATGTTTTAGCAATGTTTGTGGAATTGGTTTTAAGTTAAAAACTTTTTGGTATGATTCACCAGAATGCGCCTAACCATTTATTTCTTCCTGGGTAGCTTTTGTTACTAACACAATCTCTCTATCTAGTTCTGCTTAGATTTCCTGTATCTTCTTGAGTCAGTTTTGGTCAATATGTCTTTTGGAAGTCCTTTGGGGGTTCTGCACACAATTCCATTGTGTGTTCAGAGGGGAATTATCCTCACACCAACACAAGCAATTCTGTGCCAACAGATTGAAGGCTGAGTCCCACAAGATCAAATACCTACCCTTCAGATGCCAGTTACTTGTTCTTACTGGTGCTTCTGACCCATTGGATACAGATTGCAGGTTCCCAGGAACCCCTGCTTGGGCTTCAGATGCTAGTTGCAAGTCCAGGTTGCTACTTGTACTTCTGATGGACTGACTGGCTATAGATTTCTAGAGGTTTTAAGGACCCCCTTCCTCAGGTTCATTTAATTTGCTAGGGCAGCTCACAGAACTCAAAAACATCTTACTTGACTTGATTACTGGTTTATGGCAAAGGATATGAATCAACAGCCAGAAGACAAAGATGATAAGGTGAGGTATGTGGAAAGGGGCTTTCATGACCTCTGCTAGCATGCTACTCTCCCCAGATTTCCACGTGTTCACCAACCCTGAAGCTCTCAGAACCCTGTCCTTTTGGGTTTTTATGGAGGTTTTTAAAAAACATAGTCATGATTGATTAAATGAAAAGACACCTTTATTAGTTTTAGGAGCTCTGTGCCAGAAATGGGGATGAAGACCAAATATGGTAAATCCAGGCTAAACCTAAACTGAATATTGATAGGTTCTGAGACTTTAACTGAAATGACTATGATAAAACCAATTTTAGCATAGATTAATTGATAAAAACAAGAGTTAAGTTTTCTAAGGCATCTTATCAGTGTTAGAATGAAACAGTGTTGAGGACCTGCTGTATGTATTTTTTAACACAAGTTATATCACAGGGGGTTTGTCCTTCTCATCAAAATTATTCAACATATTAGCATATAGTTATTCATAGTATTTTTAAAATGTAAGGTTGGTAGTAATGTCCCTATTTTATTGCTGATTTCAGTAATTTGAGTGTCTTTTTTCTTGGTCAGTCTAGCTACAGGTTTATCAATTTCTTTGATCTTTTCAGAGACCCAACTTGGGATTTTGAGCCTTTTCTCTATTGTTGTATTCTCTTGGTGAAACTTTCTGACAGCAAAGGATATAATATAGGACCAATGGGTAAAAAATACGCTTGGGCGAATTCCATAGAGGTCAGATGTATACTTCTAGCTTCTTTCTATGAGAATTGCATGGGCATGCTTTTTCTGCAGCTGCAGAAAACAGGGACACATGGTCTCAAGAAGAATTCATATACATTAAAAACTCTCCAGGACTCCAAAGAACATTTGTTTATGTAGGTTACACTAACATTTTCTACATTACAAAGTAAAACTGAGAAATGGTTAAAAATTGTTATTTAAAAGTACCATAAATCCTACATATTAATATAAATATTTTCCAAAAACAAGAGTAAAAAGAGCATTTTTTTGTATTTTTACAAATCTCTTTAATGTCTGGCTTAACAGAAAAATAGTTGGGTTCTCTCCTCTCTGCTTTTTGCTACATGTAGTTTTAGTTGAAGTAGGTGAAAGGTGTTTATTGGGTGATAGAAATTCTTCTCTGGTAGGTGACTGCTTCATTACAGCCCTAAGGATTTACTGCCACAATTTCTGTTGGTTTTTACATTTTCCTTCCACATGACCATGCCTTTGGACAAAGTGTGTTGTGGATTGGGTGGCTTGGAGCATGGGATCAATCAGTTTCACAATTGAGTGATTGCCATTTTTTCTTACCCAGCAAAATTTGCGTATCTCCTGTATTTGTTGGGGAAAGAAGACAATGGAGGAGGGGTGGGGAGGCAGGTGATCAAGTGGTGGGAGCAGAAACCATTCTAATTTACCCCTGGTTTTGCCACCATCCTTAGCATACTGCTAGCCAATGGAAGATCTTAATCTAAGGAACTTTCAGCAGTGGATGTCCTTGGGAGTTGTGTCCTTGGGTAAAGGCCTGAATACCTCATCCTATTAGTCATGCTTTCCTGTGGGTTCCTGATTAAGGAAAAGCAGAACACTTGTATTTCCTAGGCTATAATTATGGCTCTGAATTTAACTGATTGCTGGGTCTGTCATCCCTTACCTGATCCTGCTGACAAGAAGTAAATTCTCTCCTATAGGTCTCTTCTGGTACTTGGGGTCCTTTTGCATCCTTAATTTCATCCTCCAGTTTTATAAAGTCTGGATATTAACCTGTTGCAACAAAATGTCTGTATTGAGGCTCTACAACCCTCTCAACAGAACCTAAGACAACCAGAGTAAGCACTGGAATGTGGTCTTTAATGACAGGGGTAACTAACAAGGAATAACAGTTATATCAGATTTTCCTTCAGGGCCATTTCAGCCTGTGTTATATGGGACTGATCAGTTTTACTGAAGGAATTTTTCTACCTCTGAGATGCAAAATTGGCTGACTCCTATATTAATAAGTGATACTTACACTCCTAATGCAGTTCGTACCCCAACAGTATACTACACCTTATATAGTCTATAGTTTCCTACTAAACACTAATTGTATAATTGAGGCAGTTGTCAAAGAGTTTCAGATATTTGAGATCCCCAACCCTCAAATGGATCATGTTTTCTTGGGGTGGATACCTTCAGAGGGCTCTGAAATGAGTTGTTAGGCAGAATTTCATGGTGGGTTAACTGACTTATTATTCATGTGTGCTGTTATCTTTGATTTTCATTTTAAGGAATAACAACTAGAAAAGGTAGTCTGAAATTTGTCTCTGACCTCTACTCTGGACACACAACAAACTACAATTGACCCTTGAACAACACGGGTTTGAACTGTTCAGATCCACTTATATATGGATTAATTCTTCAATAAATATATACATACAGTACTATAACTTTGTAAGGGTACAGGGTATCCAACAAAATATAAAGTGTATTAGTTGTTTCTGTTATTAGTAAGGCTTTCAGTCAGCAGCAGACTATTGGAAGTTAAGTTTTGAGAAAGTCAAAAGTTATACTTGGATTTTCAACAGTGGTGGGTGGGGAGGAGGAGTTGGTTCCCCAGACCCCTGTGTTGTGTTGTTCAAGCCTTACCTGTAGTGTAAACTTTTTAGCCAGACTGATAGTTGCTCTGAACTTCCTTCTGGCCAGGCATGATGGGATATATGTGATTGCCAATACCTCATGCAGTACCTGGATTAATCAGTCAGGAAAAGTAGAGTAGTGTGTCCCACTCCCCTGAGAGATTAGAGAGTAGATCTGTAGGTGAACAGCTTCACCATGGTGTCAAATGACCTTTTCTTCTCATAGGCTGCACATTTAATCTCAGTCTGACCCACACCTTGCAGGACACCCTGCAAGTCCTCCCAGAACAAACATTGATATGCAGCCTTGTGAGATATGGCCACAAGGTTGTTTCTCTTGTGCCTCCCTACCACCTCCCTTCCACTTTGGGGTACAGCTATCAAATGGCTCTTCCATAACCTGTGTTCTTATCTTCTTCAGTAAGACTGCCTGGACTGGGCACAGTGATGCTGGTTTTGCTGTTTTAATAAGTTGTATGTGAACCATGTCATCTTGTCTCCTTTTTATCTGTGTGGCAGTATGGAGAACCAACTTGACAGCTGTAATAGGACTTCTAGCCCTTCTAGCTGTGGTGCTGTTGCTTAGAGAAGACTGCTTAACTTCATTCATATTGTGACAGTTAAATGTGATAATGTATTTAGACCATTCAGTGTAGTTCTTAACAAATAGTAAATTCTCAAATGTTAGCTATTATTTATAGTTATTAATAAGTAATGTATTATAAGCAATGTAAGACTTAGAATAATCTACTGTTCAAGGCCTATTACAAGGATTGATAATTTAATTTCTTCTATGACTGAGGACACAAAAGCCAGAGCTAGAATAGTTTCAATAAATCGTAATACTTTTGGAATTCCTGAAAAATGGCTTTTACACTGGAGTGTTAGTGTTTGTGGGTTGTTTTTTTTTTTTTTAATTATAGAAGTATCTATAGCTTTTTTTGGCTGCAAATTATTTGTTTATTTAATGAAAAATGCTGGCTTTCAATTAATTGCATCAGTAGGTACTCTCTAAGTATACTTTGGCTTCTGGAACACATTAGATGTGCAACTTATAAAGCTGTAATGGAAAGTTTCAATGAAAAGTGCCCAGAACATAGTTGGGTCCCCCCCCCCCCCGCCAGTTATCAAGATATTTATATTTATATATATGTTCACATACATGAGTATACACACACATAGATGCATACACAGTAAATGTATATGTATCTATATATGTTTACATTTTTTAAGAAGCCCATGTTTTGGAAGTGTTGAAATACAAATGAAATCATGGTTGGCATAGATGTGGAGAAGAGAGAGGAAGGACATTTTTCCCATCTATAAGTTTAAATAAGGACTTCTCTTTAATTTGGTGTTCAACAAGTACAGATAATGTTTATTCACTCAACAGACATTTATCAAAGACTGTGGGATACTGTCTAGATACACATCTTTGTTTTGTGTTCCCCTGAGACTGTTTTTTCTTTATTTTTTTTTAATGCTTATCATCTAGGCAATTCATAGCGCTTTCACTCTGATAATATTCTAGTTTATTGGATGAAGTAATGGTTCCACTTGTATATAAAACAATTCTTGATGTGGCACAGTTTGTCCTTTCATGTTCTGTTTCTTAATATTTTATCTTAACTATTATAGACCTACCGTGACCAAATATATGTATATTTATAAAATAGGTCCATTTTTATCAAGTTCTGTTCATGGGTATATGTATTTGTACATGTATGCTTAAGATAGATATTAATGAAGTTTTTTTTGTTGTTGTTTTGTTTTAAGAGAGAGAGAAACATTGATTTGTTCTACTTATTTATACATTCATTGGTTGATTCTTATACGTGCCCTAATTGGGGATTGAACCTTCAACCTTACGCACATTGGGACAACTGTAACCAACTGAGCTACCTGGCAAGGTAAATATTGTTATAATTCCTCAAAGGTATGAATTTATATTATGTTTTGTTCTGTAATTTTTTAATAAGGCTGACTTAGAAATAAATGAAGCTGCTGGATTGACAATTTTTCAATTAAAGTGCATTGCTTTGCATGGATATAAAATATTTTTAAATGGAAAGAATACTTCACAAATCTTAACCTTAGCAAAGTCTTTATGAAATTTTTATGTGGAACTCTACATACATTGTTAGATTTATAGTAGATTTAGTCTCCATTTATAGCAGCTATTCACTTCCTTTTCCCCCTGTGCTTCACAAATTAATTTGAATTCTGCAGGCCACAACTTGCTGTTCACAACTTCTTATACTTTGGCTTTTTAGTGACTTGCTTTATTTCTAGTTTTCTCACAGGAAGTAACCAAGAGTAATAATATACAATTAAAATACAATTAAAATCCAGAAAGATATAAATCCAGAAAGATATAAATCCAGAAACTGTCAGGCCTAGCTAGAGACAGACTTTGTATTTCCAAGATGCAAGATTTTTTAACTTAAAAATTCAAAGACTTTTAATGAGGACACACAGAAAAGCACCATGGATTCTCTCTTAGAATTAGTAGTATGTGTAGTATGCCTCTGAATTTCCAGTTTGGGGCATAGCACTTTATCAGTGTCAACTGTAGATGCTTGCCTCCCACTGAGGGCCACCACATCTTATTAGCATCAGCATATTCAGTGAGCTGTAAAACTTACAGCCAGATTGGTGAGGGGGTGGTTAGAAGAACCACAAGCTTTGTGCATCATTTAGGTTTGACTAATTTACATGTAGCTAGTCATAGCAAAGATATTCCTGGGAGAATTTCCCACAATGGAATATAAGAAGCTAATGCTTTGATGGTTTGATGGCGCCTGCTGCCATTACCAGACTGCTTGTGGACTTCTTCACTACTTTACAAGCATACTTGGACTGTTGGATCCAGGCCAGAGGATAGAGCCTTAAACCTAAAGGCAAACCAGTGGGCAATTATTCATGACCTGCAACTTAAAGTGCTCAGGTTTTTTGTTTTTTTAACCCCCACTGGAAACGAATGTGGCAGTGTATAATGTGTTTGAAACATCCATATTGTTACTGATTTTTTTTTTTTCCTGCCAATTTGTTAAAAGTGGGGAATTGAAGTTTTGGACTCTTTATGAATTGCTGATTTCTCCTTTGTTTATATTTTTACTTCTTGTATTTCAATACTATGTTAGATGCGTATGTTTATAATTGTTAACATTTTCTTGGTGGCTTGACCCCTGTATGGTTATAAAATGTCCCTCTTTATTTCTGTTAACATTTTTAAATTTTCTATTTTATCTGATAATTAATATTGTTATCTACCTTTCTTGTGGCTGAAGTTTGCATATCCTTTTCTCTTATTTTATTTTCAGTCTGTTTGTATCTTTAGATCTAAAGTGTGTCTACTGAAGCCCTGCTTAGTGTGGCTCAGTGGATTGGGTATCAGCCTGCAAACCAAAAGGTCACTGGTTTGATTCCCAGTCAGGGCACATGCCTGGGTTGTGGGCCAGGTCCCCAGTTGAGGGCATGCAAGAGGCAACCCATCAATGTTTCTCTTGCACATCAATATTTCTCTCCCTCTCTGCTTACCTTCTTCCCCTCTCTCCCAAAGTAAATACATAAAATCTTTAAAAAAAATTGTGTCTACTAGAAAGAGCATATAGTTAGCTTTTTAAAATCTAGTGTGACATTCACTATCTTTTGGGTTGTTTAACCCATTCACATTTAATGTTGTAAATTACATATTTGGATTTATGTCTGCTATTAGTACTTTTTGTTTTGTGTTTCTTACGTATTTGTTCCTTCCTTACTGGGTCACCCCCCACCCCGCCTCCCCCAAAAACTCATGAGGTACTTCTCATTTTATCAACAGATGCTAATTGTAATGCCTGTTGTAATTCAGATATAAGGGAGAAAAAAAAACCTTTTGTTGATCTGCTTTGGCATGGTGACTGATACTTTTATTTTTGAAAAATCTTTTAAATTACAGTTGACATTATTAGTTTAAGGTGTACACCCCAGTGACTAGACATTATATGACTTACTATATTTTGCTGTGTATAGTATGCATTATTTTTTGCCCAAATCTTTGAGGGAAAGATAAGGCTGTGCGTTATACACAGGTATAACAATTATATAATGTGGGTATAAGCCCATGTATAATACCCACCAAACCATGGGTGTGCATTATACATGGGAGCACATTATGCACAGATAACACAGGCACTAAGTGATTATCCTGATAAATCTTACACCCATCTGACACTATACATAGGCATTAGAATATTATTGACTATATTCTCTATATGCTGTATATGACATACCCATGACTGTTTTGTAACAACCAATTTGTACTTCTTAATCCCTTCATCTTTTTCACCCATACCCCCAGCTCTATTCCCATCTGGCAACTGTCATGAACACTAGAGCTGTTGATGTTCTATTTGTTCGTTTATTATGTTTTTTAGATTTAATTGTTGATATGTATTTATAGCCATTTTATTGTACATATTTAAAAATTGTTTTATTGATTTGAGAGAGAGAGAAACATTAATTTGTTGTTCCACTTATTTATACATTCATTGGTTGCTTTTTGTATGTGCTCTGACCAGGGATCAAACTTGCAACCTTGGCATATTGAGATGATGCTCTAACAAACTGAACTATCCAGCCAAGGCCTTATTTTTTATATTTTTAATCTTTTTTTCCCTTCTTATTAAAGCAGACCCTTTAACATTTCACATGGTACTGGTTTGGTGGTAATGATGAGGTCCTTCAGCTTTTTCTTGTGTGGGAAACTCTTTTATTTGTCCTTCGATTCTAAGTGATTGTTTTGTTGGGTATAGTAATCTTGGTTGTAGGTTTTTGTGTTTCATCATTGAATAATTCTTGCCAGTCCCTTCTGGCCTGCTAGATTTCTGTTGAGAAATCAGCTAACAATCTTATGGGAGATCTCTTGCAGGTAACTGTTTGCTCTTACTGCTTTTAAGATTCTCTCTTTGTATTTAACCTTATCATTTTTTAAAATAAGATTTTATTCATTTTCAGAGATACGGGAAGGGAGGGAGAAAGAGAGGGAGAAAAACATCAAGGTGCAAGAGAAACATTGATCAGTTGCCTCTTGCACACACCCAACTGGGGTCCTGGCCCATAGCCCAGGCATGTGCCCCGACTGGGAATCGAACTGGCGACCTTTCAATTGTAGGATGATGCCCAGACACCTGAGCCACACCAGTCAGACACTTTTGGCATTTTAATTATGATGTGTCTTGGTTTGGGCCTCTTTGTGTTCATCTTGTTGGGGACTCTGCTTCCTGAACTTGTATGACTATCTCTTTCACCAAGTGGGGGAAGTTTTCTGCTATTTTATTTTATTTATTTTATTTTTTAATTTAATTTAATTTAATTATTTGTTGTTCAAGTACAGTTTTCTGCCTTTTATCCCCATCCCAGCCCACCCTGTGATTATTTTTTCAAATAGGTTTTCAGTTTCTTCTCTCTCCTCCTCCTGGTTCCACTCCCATGATGCAAATATCAGTATGCTTGAAGTTGTCCCGGAGGCTCCTCATGCTGCTGCCATCATTTTTTTCTTCTTGCTGTTCTGATTGGTTGTTTTATTGCTTTCTTACTTTCTAAACTCCTGATTTGATTCTCAGCTTTACCCACTCTACTGTTGATTCCCTATAAATTGTTCTTTATTTCAATTAGTATATCCTTTGTTTCTGACTGGATTTTTTTTTTTTTTTTTTTTATAACCAGTGTTTTGAACTCTGGTAGGTTGCTTAGTCCATTCTGTGTAGTTCTTTTTCTGGAGTTTTGTCCTTTCATTTGGGATATGCTTCTTTATCTCCTCATTTTGCCAGCCTTCTCTCAGAATTTTCTATATATTAGGTATAGCTGCTGTATCTCCTATGCTTGGTAGAGAGATCTTATGTAGCAGTGTTCTGTAGGGTCCAGTGGCACAGCCTCCCCTATTACCCAAGCAAGGTATTCAAGATGTGGCCACCATGTGGGCTGTGTACACTCTCCTGTTGTAGTTGAGCCTTGACTGCTGTTGGCGTATTGGTGAGAGTGATGAATTTACTCCCAGCTGATCAGCTGCAAGAACTGGCTTCATTTACTAACCACTGTGCAGGGGTCCACCCCACAGTGCAGGACTTACGTTATCGAGGCTCTGATGCTGTTGAGTTTATCAGTTGAATGTGTTGCTCGTGGAGGTGGTTTGGTGGTGGTACTTGGATGTGGTTGAAGCTGGCCACTAGGTGTGCTGGCTCAGGGATCTCCCAGGAGGTACAGGCCAAGGTCAGTCACCGCTGCCTGTGTTCTTCTCTGGCCCCCTGGCATGACCTACAAAGCAATCTGAGATGGCTGCTACTGGTGCTGGGCTTGGTGGTGCCCAGAAGAGGCCACACTGTGAACTAAGGCCAGCTGCTGCTGGTGCCATGCCTGGGGCCACTTAGGGAGAAGTATGGGTACTCTGAGGCCGGATGCTTCTTTGTTTGAGATTTTAGGAGAGTCTGAAGTGTGAGCCAAGACAGGCCCTTCCTCTGGAAAAGCAGCTGGAAACAACCTGGGTGGAGTGGGGCCTCAGGGAATCACCAGTGCTGGACATGCAGTGTGAGCCAGGTTGATGGAGACTCAGATATGGTGCTGCTGACTCTGTGCGGGTAGGGCTCAGAAAAGGAACAATGGCCTCTGTCAGCACTTTTGTCTGGGAGAAAGCTGGCCCCCAGCTCTTACCCTGATGCCAGACATTTCAGTTCCTCCCTGTATGTCTCTGGTGCATTTTCAGTTGCTGTCTCTGCCGGAGCTCAGAGGGAGTGATGTTGAGTAAATCCATACATGGGTCTTTGTAGATGAACTGCCTGGAATTCCAGAATCCTATCTTTCCATCAGCCTCAATCTCAGCTGGCTTTTACAGCCAGAAGCTACAAAAACTTCCCTTTTTGGCACTTGAATCCTAGGCTGGGAGGCCTGGTGTAGGGCTGGGACCCTCGTTCCCGAAGTGGGGATTTGCATAGCTGAGATATCCCTCCCAATTTTTATTTGCCACACATGAGTATGTGACCAGCCCTTTTGCATGCCTCTGCTCCTGTCAGTCTTGATGTGGCTTCGTCTTTAATTCCCTAGTTGTAGGACTTTGTTCAGTTGTATTTCAACCTGTTCTGAATGATAGTTTTTCTGTAATTTAGATGTGGTTGTAGGAGGAGGTGAGCACTACATTTACTTGTGCTGATATCTTGACTGGAAGTCCCCTTCCTTACTGTTTTCTTTTGCATTTTAAAAGAAGATTTCTATATATTCATTTTTAGAAAGAGGGGAAGGGAGGGAGAAAGAGGGCGATAGAAACATCGGCAGGCTGCCTTTTGCATACCCCGAACAGAGGCAGGAGGTGGGGGCTGGCCCACAATCCAGGCATGTGATTTGACCTGGAATCATGTGGTGACTTTTGTAGAATAACACTCAACCCATTGAACCACACCAGTCAGGGCTGTTTTCTTTTGCATTAAGTGAATTTTTTTTTAATCCTCACCCAAGGACGTGCTTATTTATTGATTTCTAGAAAGGGGAAGGTGGGGGAAGAAACGGAGAGAACCAGCGATGTGAGACAGAAGCATCAGTTGGTTGCTGTTCACATGTGCCCGTGGTTGGAGAGTGAACTCACAACCTAGACAGGTACCCTGGCCAGGAATCGTACTCAATACCTTTCGGTCCACAGGATGCTGCTGCAGCTAATTGAGCCACACTGGCCAAAGCTGAAGTGAATATTTTCTAATTTGGTTAGCATTTTAATTTCTTCAGTGATTTTTTCATTATTTTATGGAAATGCAAATTACTTCAAGTTATTTTTATTTCTACCTGTGTTAAGCATTTAATATCTGATTTATTATATTTGTGGATTTTAACCATGCTTAAAGACTCACTGGTGCGGGTTGGAGAATTGAGGGATGTGGGGCCCAGTGAGGTTATTTGTTGGGTTTTTTGAATACTGGAAACGCTAGAGTCTGTGTGTATATGTGCACGCCCACATGTCTGAGTGACTTAACAGAGATCGGTTTATACTGAGAATAAAGGAAAGGGAAATAGGACTTTAAATGTAAAGGTTTGATAGGAGGAAGGTAATGCAGATTGCAAGGATATGTGTTTTATAGTTTTGGTGGTGGGGGATCCGCCTGTTGGCTTAAATGATTTTTTTTTTTTTCTCCAGAAAACTTGAAGCAGAAAGCTTCTCCTGTGCAGAGGAGATTTCATAAGTTCAGCCACAGCTGGGAGTTTGTCAGGTGAGTGTCACTGTTGTCACAGGTGAGCAGTGATGAGGGGGTAGGCAAGGTGGAAATTTGGGGCAAAATAGTTTATTTTTCCAAAAGGAATTAAAATAATAGACTGGAAATCTGTCTCTGGTAATTGCCATTAATCACAAAAGCTCTAAAATATATTACATCCAAAAGTAGAAACTCTTCAATCAGAAAAAATGTCAGAAAACTTAACTGCCTCCCTCTAATTTAGATTGTTCAGGGGTGCTTTTCCAGGCTTCAGTGTCTTCTCTGTCCACAAAAGAGAAGGAATGTGGAAAACGCAAATTACTCATAAGGTTCATTTCTCTTTTTACCCATATGCTCTGTATTTGTCTATTAGGGCTGCCCTCAGACTAATCCATAGTCTGGGTGGCTTAAACAACACATTTATACCTAGCAGTTCTAGAGTTTTAAAGTTAAGATCAGGCGTTTGGTTTATTCTGAGGCCTCTCCTTGGCTTGCAGATAGCCACCTTCTCTGTGTGGCCTCCTATCATCTTTCCTTGTGTCCATACACCTGGTGTTTCTCTTGTAAGGATCCCAGTCCTGTTGAATTAGAGACTCACTCTTACAATCTCATTTAACCTTAATTATCATGCTAAAGAACCTATCTCCAAATGCAGTCACAGTTGGGGTCAGGGCTTCAATCATGAATTTGGGGGGGACTCAGTTCAGTTTATAACAGATTCCCACCCCAAAGTTCACATATGGAGGAATTTATTAGGCATCAATAACTCTTTAAGTGCTGCTTTTTATTTTGAGTTATACTTACTTCTACCTGGTCAATCAGTTATCTTGTTAAGGAGCTTTCCTAAGAGAAGGCATGTAAGGAGTTCATACATTTTTCTCATTGGGATCTGTTTTTAATTTTAAAAAGTGGATGCCTTCATTCTTGTTTTTCTTCAGTTAGTGAATAAACTACAACTCATTGGGCCACCCAGCTTTGTCCTGATTCACATGTATATATATATGAAAAGTTGGTCGTCGTTATTCTTGTCTGTTTTGCATGTCCATGTACATTTCAGAATCAGCTTATAAATTTCTGCCAAAATAAATCTCTTGAGATTTTTACTTGGATTGCATTGAATCTATAGATAAATTTTAAGATAATTGGTATTCTTACTTGTCTTCAGATATTTAAATGTCATATCTTGACACTTAAGTCTTTGTTAATTCTAATCAGAGGTCTTAAACATTTATATTTTATAAGCATTTGTTTTATGATAAAAATGGTATTTTTCCTAAAAACTGCTGGTAACTTTTTGTATATTGATTTTGTTTTCAGGGATTTTAATAAGTTAACAACTTGACAGTCTAAAACAGTGATTTCAACTGGTATGCCACAATAGGCACACTGGTGTGTCACAAGAATTTTTAAAACATGCAATACCTGATTATGTATTTAGTCAGGGGCACTGACCTCTTTTCCCTTAGATAGTCAAATAAAAAAGTGATGACAGTCAAGACAATAGTTGTACTGTGTGAATGAATCAAAATCATACCTATTTGTTAGATCATCAAGAAATGGTTTTGGTGTGCTACAGAATGTTAGTAGTTTATGTGTGCCACGAGATGAAAAGGTTGAGAATTGATGGTCTCAAAGGTCTAAAGAATTGGATTTTGTGCATTACTTCTTTGAGTAGTCAGCTTTATGTTTTCCTGCTTAACTCTTCCTTTCTTGGCTGTCTGGTACAATGATGGGATAGTAGCATCTTTGTGTTATTGGCATCTAAAATTTGGAAGCTACCATTTATCATAATGGAAAATTTTTTTTGTTTTTGGTTTGGTACAATTGTTTTAATGAATGGGTATTGAATTTTATCAAAATTTCTTCCATCTTGTGAAAAAATCATGATTTTGAAAAAGTTATTGTAATGTAATTTGGTTAACTTTCAAATAGCAAGCCTTATATTCCTAAAACAAGCGTAATTTCATCATGATGTTATCTCTCCTTTCATATTCCCCCCATTTTGGATTGCTAACATTTTATTCAGGATTTTTTCATCTATTTCACTGTTAGAGATTGGCTTTTTCATTTTCCTCCTTTTCAGCTTCTTTATAGACTCAGTAAATGAGCTGTGAATTATCTCCTCTTTTGCTTTTAAAAGAGGTTAGATTATTTTTGTATTGAAGCCATATGGGCCTGGCATTTTTTTTTGTGAAAAGATACTGCATTTCTTTATTTTGTTTTTTTGTTTGTTTGTTTGTTTTAAAGATTTTATTTATTTTTAGAGAGGGGGAGGGAGGGGAGAGAGAGGGAGAGAGAGGGAGAGAAAACATCAATGTGTGGTTGCCTCTCTCGTGTGCCTTGACTGGGAATTGAACCTGCTCAAGTCACTGAGCCGTATCAGCCAGGGCTGAATTTCTTTGAAGAGATAAGTATTATGTCAGCCCCGGTTAGATGTGTTTATCAAGGAATTTCCACCTAAGTTTTATTTTTTATCTTTTTAGAATTTGTTCTTGGTTTTTTCCACCTAAAGTTTAAATGTATTGGAGAAAATTACTTAAATACTTATCATTTTAGCATCTATAGCACCTAGTGCCAGCCTCCGTTCTTAATACTGTGTTGTCAGAGCAGAGGCTTAATGATTTTTCTTTTTTTAAAGAATCAACTTGGCTTATTGAATCTCTATGTTTTTGTCATTATTTTATTTCAGTGTATTTTATTAATATGGTTTACCTAAAATTCTCACTTCTTGTGATGTGGAGATTATTTCCCAGTTTATTTGTTTTTTCAATGTCTTTAATCCTATAAATTGTCTTCAGGTCATATGTGAACATAGGGATTGCGGGTCCTTAATACAATAGGAATGGTGATGTTTTGAGTAGAGGAAGAGACACCAGAGATCTCTGCACTCAAGTAGAATGCACATTCCTTATTTCTCAATTATTTCGCAATTTTCTAGTTACCATTTTCCTGTAATTTCTAGATTAATTTCTCTGAATTAATTTGAATAATTTTAACCCTTTGAAATTTGATATTTGCTTCTGGCCCAGCCATATGGTCAGTATTGGTAAAAATTCATGTGCATTTGGAAAATACGCATATTCTGAAGTTCTTTATGTACTATTAATATGTTTAATTCTCAACTGAGGATATGTTTTTATTATTGATTTGAGAGGGTGGAGGTAGAGACAGAGACATTGATCATTTGCCTCCTGTACGCCCCCGCCCCCTACTGGGAATCAAACCCATGACCTTTTGGTGTATGGAACAATGTTCCAACCAACTGAGCCACGTGGCCAGGGCTTTTTTATTAATTTGAAGGAGAGAGAAAATACTGATTTTTTTGTTCCACCTATCCATGCATTCAGTGATTGATTCTTATATGTGCCCTAACCTGGGACCAAACCCTCATCTTGACATATGTGGACGATACCCCGCCCTACTAAGCTACATGCCAGGGCCTAACTCAGGTTTGTTTAATGTTCTTTTAACATGTGTTTCCCATATGGTTTACTGTGGTTATGGATTTGACAGTTGTTATACTTGGTGAGAGTGTAACTTATTTCAACCTTTTTGTAAAGCACTTCTTTTAGTGTTTATAGAAATAACTTCAGTGCTCCTTGACACATTGATTTTAGTTCCAAGAAATTCCAAAACATTTAGCAGAAATATAAAAGCATAAATACAAGAATGCTTGATGTGATAGTTTATAAGTACAAAAACTAAGAAAAACAAATACAGGCATACCTTAGAGATACTGTGGGTTCAGTTCTAGACCACTATAATAAAGTGAGTATGTTATTAAATCAGTGAGGAGAGTTACAATCTTTTTTTTTGCTGGTGGAGTCTCTTGCCTTCAATTTGGAAAGCACTAAAGCAAAGCATAATAAATGTACCAGGTATGCCTGTATTTGATCAATATCTGACTACTTAAATGGTGATATACCCATGAAGTAGAATGTTTTGCAGTCAGTGAGGTAGATATATGTGTAGTGAAATGATGAGATATCGTAGGTATAGTGATGAAAATCAGGCAAAGTGTAGTCAGTGTATTTGGTTGGATTACATTTGTTTAACAGATGATGTTTTATTTACCTATTAGTGTTTTTTATGTATATAAATTTTGGGAAAGAAGATGTCAATAGTTGACATACCCTTAGGGAATATGGACACAAGAGATAGATGGTGGTATTTTAAATCTTTTTAATAGTGAACATGGGTTACTTAGAATAAAGAGCTACTTACAATAAATGCAGAAATTAATCATTTAAGCATAACCAAGAAAATCTAACTGTATTGTATAGAAGGAATTCCTGTTAAACATCCTAGAAATAGCATTGATATTTGCCTTATGCATTGTTGTATCCTCCTTTACTATTCCACTTTCCCAAATTAAAGATGAGGATTTGCCTAGTCTGAGATGTTAGGAATTATGATAGATACAGTCAACATTGGTGTTAAGGTAAACTAATTTTTTAAGAAATTCTGTCCAGGCAAAACTGATTTATAATAAAAGGTCTTTATTTCCTACAGATATCCTCTCATTCAAAAAAACCTGACTTTTAATACACTTCCACTACGTCAAATCAACAATGAATTGGAATGCAAAACCAGAGAGTGTCACGGTACCACCGTTGTATCCTAAAAACCAGTCATCTTTTTTAGAGACGACTTTAATGAACACATCATCTCAAGTTTCTTTAAACTCTCCTGGAAATAACCAACCAGCATGCATGTTTCTTAGTAATTCAAACCCAGTTTCACAGCCACTGTACAACATCAGAAATTATAAAACTCCTCAACAAATCTCAGTATCCAATATGCATAGTGGGACAATTGTGGCATCACAGAGTTCAGTAGAAAGAATAACATATGCAAATGTGAAAGGACCTACACAACTAAATCATAGTTTGCAAATGTCTTCAGGAGTTGCACAAAATACATGGATGGACTCACCAATGAGGAATTCTATGTTTCCTCATACAGGAGCAACTGTGTCACAACAAACTAGGTTTAGAACCAATATACCAAATGTAAATGCACTACAGAATCAATTTGTAACATCAGATACCTATTCTATGCAAGTACAGATGATCCCTTCTAATTCTGTAAGAGTTCCTGTAACTTATCAAGGAAACCAGAGACTTAACTCATCTTTATCAGAGCGACAGGGTAACTGGGCACAACAGTATACAGCCAGTGGACTACCTTATCCAGATTACAGACCACTTCCAAGGCAATACAGTTATCCATCACGAAGCTTTTTGCAAAACCCTACTCTTCAGAAACAAAATCCTGTGCCATCTGCATCATTACAAATAAAGAATAGTCTTCCTCCAAATTCTGCACTGAATTTATACTCAAAGCAGCCTGCAACTGTACAGTCCTATCAATATGCAGTTACTCAGATTGACAAAAGACCTCCTCCTCCTCCTTATGACTATAGATATACAACTCAGCCTTTGCAAAATACTCAGCATGTTATTAAACACTCTTCTATAGATGTTCCTCAGAGTCAAGAAGCACACTTACCTGAAATAAGGAAAGCCTTTTGCAGAGGCTTTCAACAGCAAAACATCAATGAAAATGTCAGCATGATAGGAAATTTCTGTAACTTGAAAGTAAATACTAATATCAATCAGTCTTTTAATGACCCCATTAGATTTTCTGTGGATGGCGTTCAGATGCTTGCTCAAAATAATCAAGGAGAAAGAGTAGATTCTTGCAATCTAACTTCAAATCAAGTACTGGACACAAGTGCCACAAAAGAAAGGTTAGTGAGGGATATTAAAACATTAGTAGAAATGAAAAAGAAATTTTCTGAACTGGCAAGGAAAGTTAAAATTGATAAAAATGTTTTGATGGCAGCAGGTTGTATTAAAGCAACTAATAACTCTTGTAGTGAATCAGCTCAAAATTCTGAACTTTCTGTGAAACAAACTGCTAAAATCCAGTCTGGACAACAGGTAACTCGATTCACTCCAACGACTGCAGAGGATAAACAACCAACAATAGCGGAAACTGCAAAAGAAACAAATAGAACATGCAGTACCTTGGACACCAATTGCAGAAATTTTAACCAGGTCAATTCCATTTTAATGAATTCTGTGAGTTCAGAAAAGGTGCCAGACCAGTTACATGATTTGAAAGTTACGACTTCTTTAAAGACATCAACTGTTGAGACATTAAGTAATACCCAGTTTTCATCAGGAAATTTAGTCAATGTTGAAGAAAATGTACAAACAAATTCTGAAACAACTTCTGTTCCTCAGTCTATGACCTTTGAGGAATATGCTTCAAAATATCTCAATAAAAATAGGCTACTTCTCAATCTGCTTGCACATGAGGATAAAATTGAGAAAAAGTTATTAAAAGATGGTTGTGAAACTATTCAGGATTCAAAACCATACGGTTTTGAAATGAATTCCAATACCCAAATCACTGGTAACCACCTGAACTTGAAAACCGTGGAAGCTCCAAGTACTTGCAATGTAAATGCCAAGATTTCAGACAGTTCTTTTTGCTTTGAGCATAAATCCTCAACAAATGGAATACCTTCGAAAAGTGACTGTTCTATGGAATTGCTAGCAACCTGTCTTTCTCTGTGGAAAAAGCAACCTTTAGAACCTACAGAAAATAAACAAGGTCATGAGTCAGCAACAAGCAGAACACCAGTTGGAAATTCAAAGCCTGTAGAAATCTCTGATAAGAATCCATTTTCAGTTGTGGGAAATTCTCAGAATAAGATAGTAAACTGCTCACAAGTAACAGCTCTGCCAATGGTAGTACAGAATTATGAGTCTTCAGGCGCAACTATTACAAAGGGAACAGAACTTCAGATTGCTGTAGTGTCTCCTTTAATTCTTTCAGATGTCAAAACATTGCCTGTCAAAGGAATAACCTCTGAAGTTTTATCTGAAACAGTGTACCCAGTTATTAAAGAAGGCAGTGTTTGTAGCTTACAGAATCAATTGGCAGAAAATACAAGAGTTACGTCTACTTTGAAAGTTAATGAACCGGTTGCAGGTACATCAACAAACACTAAAAACTGTCCACTAATTCAGAAGGAAAAGCAAAGTAAGTCAGTTGATGGTAATTCAGAAGGTACACCTAATATCAGTCAAGGAAAACATATCATATCAGAACCAGATACTCACTATCCTGTGAGTGATCTGCAAGCCTTGTCTAAATCAAGGAACAGTGATGTTGTGAGTAATGATTTATTACAGATTGACAATATATGTTCTCTTGTTGAAGGCGATACATCTTATAATTCCCAAATAGCAAAGATATTCAACTCACCAGTGAAAAAGGATGAGCCACAGAAATCTTCTCTGTTCAATCTCCAAGTGATCAGTAGAATACAACAAAAAGAACCATTAGAAAACATCACTGAAAAGGACTTCCATTTTCAAAAAGATAATTTTGTACAGTGCATGGATGTTTCAAATAAAATACTTGATCAGTCAGAGTCACTGCAGCCTCCAGAATCATCCCTTTTGAAGAATGTTGAAACAAATAGTGAAACAGAGGAATTCGATTTGGAGCATATCACTAAAAAAGAAACCGCCTCTATAGATATGTGTCCATCAGCTGCTATTCAGCAGGAGAGTAACACTCAGGAAATCGTTGTGTCCTGTAATTATACTGCTCAGGGTCTTGCAGGAAATGAGGTTCTCAATGATAAGACATCCACGTTATATCCATATGATCAGCTATCAGAACTTCTGAAAGAGTTTCCCTATGGAATTGAAGCAGTAATTACAAGTGAAGGTCATGTGGCACAACAGATAACAGACCAAATCTCAAAAGATCAGTCTTGTGATAAAGCCAGCTGTGACTCCAAAGACTCAGCAGACCAAATTAAAATTACAATATTAAACTCAGAGCAAATGAAAGAATTATTTCCTGAACCGCATGATCAACCCTATGAGGGAGACACATTGACAGAATCTCAAAAAGAAGATCTGGTCACAAAAGAAGGCAGCCAGTGTTCTGCACAAGTACCTACAGGTGGAGAAAGTTGTAATTCTGTAATGGATTCAGAGAAAGATGATGTCCGTTGTTGCGCATTGGGGTGGCTCGCTATGGAATATGAAGGAGTACCCCAGTGCCAGTGTAATTCCATCAAGAACTCAACTCCAAAGGTGGAAGAAGGGAAAGATCAGTGTTCTTTGGTGACCAACAGTTGTAAGCAAAAAGAACTTACTTCTGATAGAGATGTTCCTATAGAATTTAAAAGTCCTCCAAGTATTCCTCCAACTTTTCCAGATGGGAAAAACCAGTTTCCTGAAATAGAACAAGGCAGTAATATAAAAGAGACCTTCAAAACAAAAAACAGCTCACTAAGGACACAACAAGAATTACCCAGTGAACCTTTCTGTAAAAGTGGTAAAAAACTGGATTCCTTGCAATGTCACAAAAGGAAAAAAAACCTGAAATTTCATGAGGTAACTTTTCACTCTAGTAATAAAGTAAAATTTTCTCAAGAGAGTTTGCAGAGGAAGCTCACAGCACAAAACTCATATCCACTAAAAGCAAAGATGGGTTTCTCAACAAATAAAAAAGATGTGCATAAGAAGAATGGTTCTCTGGTATGGCCAATATTCCCAGAAAAGAGAAAATTGAAAGCAAGTGACTCTGAACTCAAAGTTTCAGCAAAAAGGAAGTTAGGTGAAGGGAGCATTCTGGATTCAGATATTAAAAGGATGAAGTATAATAAACAAGAACAGAATAAAAATGGAGGTTGTATATTTAAAATAAGTAATTTTCTGTCAAACCGAGATGAAAGAGTCAAAGAAAAGATAATATTAAATGTTAAGTCCTCAGGCTATAAGTATAGTTCATCTAAAAGTAATAGAATTTTATCACAGGAGTGTTTCCAAAGGCAGAAGCATAAGGAAACAATGGGTATGAAAACATCAAAGAAAACCTGTGGGAAAAATATACCATGTGATTCTCAATACATGAGGGCCAGTAAAGTTTCTATGCAAGTCGGAAGTTGTGGGAAATCAAATGAAAGACACAGTAGCAGTGTACAGGCCTCTAAAGAATCAAATATTTTTACAAGCCATGACAAAAGCATCAAAACCCACCATCCTGAGGGGTCTAAAACAAACCTTTTGGAGAATGTTAAAGAAACAGTTGTTGGAAAGCAACTTGATAAAATACGGATTGATAAAACCAAATTAGACACAAATTCAAACAATGTTAATAATGGAGTTGAACTCAGCCAGATGTCAGCTCAAGCAAAGGAGCAAAGGAAACAATATCTGAACAGAGTTGCATTTAAATGCACTGAACGCGAGAGCATTTGTCTCACAAAATTAGATAGTTTACCCAAGAAGTTGAATAAAGATAAAGAGAAGAGACTGGAAAATAAACCTAGGAGCCCTTTACCTAAGAAAGATACCACTGAAAAACAAAGCTTGCTGGAGTTTAAATTATGTCCAGATGGGCTGATTAATAAGAGTACAACTTCCACTGAAGAACAGAAGGATCTGGAGCCTTGTCCTAGGAAGGAGCAAGCCTCCATGCAAGGTCTGGTATGATTTTTTTTTTTTCTTTGATGGTGTCTATAAAATTGTAAAGCACTAGGTTAGCACCTCTAATGCATTCTGGGTAGTTAGGAAAGAGTGAATACATTTTTGCTATTTGTTCTCAGTGAATCAACAGTTCAGGGTAAGCATTGTTTTGAGTTTATCTTCCCCTTATCGTAAATTGTACAAAATTTTTGTGAATGATGAGGCATATAAAATTGTAAGGCCTGCCAAATACGAAGATTTCCTTTTGTACCAAGAATCCTATATTGTGGAAAAACATTGCATTATGTTAGAAATATATGTTATTTAAGAGCCTTTTGTTGATTCCCCTTTGGAGTTACAGTTTCATAGGCCTGTGAATTTCAGATATGTAATGATTATTAGTGATCTTTTTATACTATGTATAAGTTTTCAGCCTTTTATCATCTTTGAAGAAGTTGTTGACTGTTAACCCTAAAGTTAAAGTGGTAATCTCCAGTCTGCACATGAAAGGCCAGGACCATGGAAACTGTATTGTCCAGTGTTAAGTCACCAAAGCCAGAGTGGCAGACATGACTCTTGGTTAGCTCGTTATAGAATTCTTAACGTTAGTATAGGAGAAAGGAGAAAATAGTTGACTAGTTATTTGTAGTAATAAGGAAACATTTAGGGGTTGTGGATATTACATATAAACATTGTGCTCAGAGACCCAGATGGAAAAGCTAAAGGATTTGAATGAAAATCTGTTGGGGTTTTTTTCTTGTGCTTTTTAGACAGTATTTCTTAGGGTGCATAAAATTACAGTGTAAATAAAGTATATTTTCCTGGAAGGTGAAGGGATATGTGATTATTCACTTGCTGCTTTTAACTAGGTCCTTAGAATTTGAGGCATTGGTGTAATGGGAACACGGGAAGTGCATTGGGGCAGTGTGAACAACATTTTCTGTCATGTGCCTTTAAATACCTTGAAATGTGTTGGTGTTCAGCCTATGTGGGAGAAAAATAATTACATAATGAAGGTGAATTTTTAAAGCAACTCATTTTTCAAATGTGAGATACAGGCATTTCAAACAGGAGAAAACATTTTTCTGAGCCCTTTTAATGTTATGTGAATATGTTAATATCTTCTAAAATCTATTTTAAGGCTACCTGATTTTCCTGAGTTGTACTAAAAGTGGTGAACAGCAATATCTAAGATCTGAAAATGAATATTTAAATAGTTACAGGCATAAAAAGCACAAAAGAAGACTGGATAAAAGGTGCACCTGAGGAGAAAAGGATTCCAAAAGCCAACCAAGAAATAGGTAAAATCATCATCAATTTTATTTTTATCTTTACTTCTCTGTTAATCTGTTTATAAGCTAGATTATATTTATGAAACTATTGTGAAGTTGAACACCTTCACTCCATCCCTTTTGTGTGTGATAGACACTGTACACACAGACACTGTAGTTGGTACAAAGTTGGTATCCAGCAAGCCTTTCTCTGGCTATGTTACTAACAGATCCAACTCAGCCTCCTCAGCAAATGGAAATGACAGCAAGAAGTTCAAAGGAGACATCAGAAGTGTAGGCATGCCCTCCAGAGTGATCCATATCTAGAAGCTTCCGAGTGATGTCACTGAGGGTGAGGTAATTTCCCTTGCACTGTCCTTTGGGAAGGTCACCAACCCCCTGGTGCCGAAAGGGAGAGATCAGGCCTTCATTGAGATGAACACAAAGGAGGCAGCCAATACCATGATGTACTACTACACTTCAGTGATGCCCATGCTTTTTTACCAGCCCATCCATCTACATCAAGTTCTCCAACCACCAACTCAAGATGGACAACTCATCCTACCAGGCACAGGTGCAGGTGCTGTGTAGGCCTCAAACTCTGTTGATTTGGGGAACTTTTGGCTGGCTACCTCGGCTGCTCCTGTGGATGTTGGAATGGCAATGGCTGGCCAGAGCCCAGTGATCAGGATCATCCTAGAGAACCTCTTCTACTCCGTCAACCTGGACATGCTTTACCAAATCTTTTCCAAGTATGGCACAGTTCTGAAAACCCTCACTTTTTGCCAAGAACAATCAGTACCAGGCATTGCTGCAGTATGCCAAAAACTGTGAGCGCTGAGCAGGCCAAGCTGTGCTGGATGGGCAGAACATCTACGTTTGTATACTCTGCATCCCACTTTTCCAAGCTCACCAAACTTTGCGTCAAATACAATGACAAGACACTAAGACTCCACTCCTCCTGACCTGCCTTCCAGCCATCCCTCATTAGACTATTCCATGACCATGCCCATTGGTGTACTTGGTATAATGTCTGATCTTCTGTATGTAGAAGCTGGTATCCATCCCACCTTTGCCATTCCTCAAGGTATAGGCCTCTGTTCCCAAAGTGCAAAGCTCCCTGGCCCCTATGGTCATCATACCCAGTCAGTGGAGTGGGAGCGGGCATTGGCACCTATAGCAGCAACAGCAGGCTGGATCACCTTTCTAGGCCTGGCAGGAGCTGGAAATTTTGTCCTGTTGGTCGCAACCTCAACCCTGAAAAAGCCATAGCCCAAAGCCTCTTAATTCATTTCAGCATGTATGGTGATCAATGTGCAGTGGGTGAAGATTTTCTTCAGTAATAAGAACTCCCTGGCACAGATGGCAGATGAGAGCAAGGCCAAGCTAGCCATGAGCCACCTCGACAGGCAGAAACTGCATGGGAAGCTGGTGCACATCATACTGTCCAAGCTCCAGAACATGCAGCTGCCCTGTGAGGGCCAGGAGTACCAGGTCCTCATCAAGGACTATGGGAGCTCACCCCTGTACCGCTTCAAGAAGCCAGTCTCCAATAACTTCTAGAACATATTCCTGCCCTCAACCTCTCCAACATTCTGTTCTCTATCCAAGGACAATTTCAAGATCCTCTTATCCAGCAATGCTAAAATTGCCAAAGGATTCAAGTTCCTAAAGAAGGACTGCAAGATGTCGCTGATCCAGATGGGTTCAGTGGAGGAGGCCATCCAGCCGCTAATCTTCCTGCACGCCCACAACCTGAGCAAGAACCACCAGCTGTGGGTGTCCTTCTCCAAGTCCACCATCTAGGCTCCACCACCAACCAGCGTGATGGACAGTCCCAGTGATAACTTCCATTACTTCAGAAAATAGCCACTTTAAAAGCAGCTGAAATAACTTTAAAAGACCATAGATTTTATTTTTAAAACATAAATCAGTTTAACTGTTTTTAAAAAAAATTAAATCTAATTCACCTTGCTCTTCCTTGGCCCCTTGCCTGTGCCTTCTGCATCCTGTCAGATGGGTGTTCCCAAAACCTCCACTTGACTTTCTTGTGCCTTAAAGCTGACTGCTCTGGCAGGGCCTTCTGTGGTAACAAATGTATAGGGATTTGAGGACTAGGCAGACAGCCTCTCTCAGGGATCATGTGTCTGTCATGTCAGGAGGCTGCCAGCTGCAGGTTATGCTGCCATCCCAGTCCTCCATTTAATCAAGTGTGTTACCGTCTGCACCCCTGCCTTGAGGTGCCCCTCCTTGGCCCAGGCCCCCAAGGGTGTGTACCTGGTATTTCTTCAGCTTAGAGCTTTTGTTTTATCATAAATCTCTGCATTATACTTTGATGGAGTTACAGACATCTGAGCCTAACAATATTTCCACCTAACCAAATATTCTAGTCTTCATTTATGCGCAAAAGAAAATTTTAACTTTTTATATAGCAAGATAAGTAAAAGTGGCATGAGTGTAATTGAAATTTCCTCCATATATGACCTTGTATACTGTACTTTTTATTTCTAACCTGTCCTCTGTGTGAGAAGACAAGTGCTCTTACACTTTCAGGAATTATTTTTTTCTACAAATTTTGAACCAAAGTTTTTCTCTTTTTTTTGTTCTGCCTCTAAAGCTAAGATCTATTAAGGTGGAATAATAACCCTCAAGCCTTAAGTGTCTACTTAACTTTATGCAGTCCTAAACTTACGGGTCCTTTGAGCTTCTCTGTGCATAGACCTTGTATTGGCAGACCTGACACCTCTCATTAGGGCCTGGACCCCTGAGCTTCCAAGTCTGGTTAGGGAAATGGTGGGTGAAAGAGAGGGTGAGAAACATCAGTTGGCTACCTCTCATATGCTCCCAACCAGGGACCTGGCCTGCAATTCAAGCGTGTACCCTGGACATCAAGCCAGCAACCTTTTGGTTTACAGGCTGGTGCTCAATCCACTGGGCCACACCAGCAAGGGCTCAATATTTATAGTTTTTTTTTTTTATATCTGTTGTAAAATATAAGGGGTACCACACACAGTTTTTTTTTAGTGACACAGATATCAATTTTGATAACTCATAACAATACTAAGCCTGTAATGGTGTAGTATTGTCTAAAGCAATTACAGGCTTAGTATTGTTACGAGTATGACACAGTGCACTGCCCACCTGATGGCTTATAATATGTGGAGAAGTGAATTAAAGTGATTTTATAACAACTTTGCCTTCTCCACAGGCTTTCTGTTCATGTTGTAGAAGTGAGTTTTGCCATTCTGCACTGGACCTTGAGTAAACTCTATCCTGCAAAAAGAAAAAGAAAGAAAAAAGAATCAGTGTTTGAAGGCAGAAAGACATTCTCCTATTTTCTTCGTTGTGCTGTGGGGAGGGAAGCAGTGATCTATTGCCTTTTAATAAGAAAATAAATGTCACAATTAGTTAGATGAGGGGAGGCGTGCTTTTCCGGTGTAGGACTACATAGTAGATAATAGTTTTCACAGATTATAAGGTCTCTCTCCTAAATAACTTCATTCTCACATTGTAGTGAGAAAGTGGTCATAGAATAATGAATGAGAATGGGCTATAATGCAATTAAATTTGATTTTCCAAAACTGACTAGAGACTGGTTTTAGTTTGCAGGCCATACATACTCTGTTTGCCAGCTGTTGAGATTAGTGACTTGCAAGGTAGTTAATCTGGTAGTTGTTTTAATTTTCTAAGTCAAGTAGGCAGGTTCATTCCTATTTTATCAATGCCAGGTTACATCATTTGAAGTTATGGCTTAGATACTGAATGTCAGGGGCTTGAACTGGGTTCCCTCTCTTGAATTAAGTGTGGAATTCAGTTATTTTAGTGAGATACTGATACTTCCAGTAAATGGGTTTTTTTTTTGGAGAGGGATTTGGGCTGAGGGCCAACCGTAAAAACCAGATCTTTTCAATTTAGTTAGTGGAATGAATAGAGTTTATTTAGTGTTTTGCATTGAGAATTAGAAGCTAGGGATTGGGAGTTTTTATCTTAGTTTTGGTTAGTTGAATATATCAAGATAAGAGTTGGAAGTCATTTGAAAGTGGAGAAAAACAATTGACCATGAATAGCCAGGAGAAGCACATTTAAAAAAAAAAAGCAAATTGAGAAGACAGCTGAAAGCACAAATACATGCAGAAGTAAATCATGAAAGATTGAAGATGCATGTAGGAAAAAACTGAAGTTGAATCAAAGGAGGAGAAATGCACTCTTAGTCAAACAGGAAAACAACCAGAAAAATTAGATCTGAGAGTAAAAACAAAAATTTCTAAAGTTGGAACACAGGAAATTGCCAGGAGCCAGCCCAGCCCTGCTGTCTGACACAGTCACAGAGGGAGCCATGCATCTGCACAGTAGACAAAGCGGGGGAAAGCACCAGGCATTCCTCTACTTAATCATTGTATTACCTCCTATGCTTGAGGTCTATGATTTGTCATGGGACCAGGACAGATGGCAATTCCACAGAAAAAGTACAGTTCTTCAGAAGCAAGCAAGAAAATGACAGCTCATTGGAAAGTGACCCCCCACCAGAGTATCCTCCTAAGTGGGTTAGGGAGTTCCAAGAATAGGAATGGAAGAAACTCCTAGGAGTACTCCCTACAAAAGCCCCTATACCCATTGTTATTACATAATTTCTTAGAACCAGGGCTCTGGGAACAAGAAATAGATCCAAAAAATATCTATAGTCCAAAGTCCAGGACACCGGCAGGAAATTAAAAACAAGAGATGGAAATGGACATGCAGATGGAAGCAAGAAAGGTCCATAAAAACAGGAGAGACATAAATGTTACCCCAAAGACATACTTGTGGCATACTTAGACCTGCATGTGAAAATGCTCAGAAGGATGCTTATAGAGGTTGACCAAAGAGATTCAGAGATAAGCATGGGGTAAACGACAGGCATAAGAACAGTCAGTAACAGGATAACACATTGCGTACTGCTCACGAGTTTTCTCGTGTTTTGCACGCCATCTTGTTAAGGACCGCTCACGAGTTCTCGTGTTTCGCACGCCTCAATCCACAAGCAAAAATGAAGTATAAACAGTTTCTGCTATCAGAAGAGTCTCACAAACAATGGGAAGACAAAGAAACAATTCCCAAATGAAAGGAAAGGAGGAAGCCTCAGAAAGAATGCTAAATGAAATAGAGGCAACTCAACTATCAGATGCTGAGTTCAAAGCAATGATTGCCAGGAAGTTCAGTGAGCTCACTGCAAATGCTATCAACATGAAAAAGGAAATAGAAACTATCAACAAGGGCCAAGAAGAGATGAAGAACAGTTTCTGCTATCAGTGGTCAGAGACTGGATAACGGATGACAATAATGAGGGCTCTCTGGAACTAGAGACAATCTGTCCAGCCCTTCCCCTGGGGGTGCAAGGAGAGCACCTTGTAAAGATCCACCCAAAAGGTTGTCAGGTGATATGAAGCAGCATGAACCTATGTGTATTCGAGTGAGTGGAAAGAAAAAATTTCCTACAAGAGCCTGCAGAGTTTGTGCCACCCATGGAAATAGGAGCGAATCTAGATACATAAATTTTGTTTGGTCCCTCTTCATAGAGGAACATTTACGCAGTACCATACGTTAAAAAAGTACTAGGAACTTTGTTTAATTAGTTAGTTGTTCAATTGTTTTTGTAAATAAAAATGTTATAATTATTGAAAAACACCACCTAAAGTGCATTATGATCTGTAGTTACGATGATTTAAGTAACGTGCAGCTTGCCCAAAAACATGCGGTCCCTGGCGTATGTCTTAGAGATTTCTGTGCAGTATGCAATGTGATAAGAAGCCAATAGTGAAGGTGAGACATCAATAGGAGAATCATAGGGGGGAAAAGCACAAACCAAGGAACAGCGCAATGAGATCTGCAATTCAAGACAGGTTCTTCCCCATTTTTCTGTCATGCTATGGAGAGGGAAGCAGTAATCTATTTCCTTTTAACAATCTCATCACAATGAGTTAGGTGAGGGGAGGCTCAGTCATACAACTTCTAGAGCTCTGTCAAAGTCTGAAGAGACTCTGGGAAAAGAGTGGAAGATGAAATATCAAGATGAAGAGAATGTGAATCAAAAGTGAGACAAACCTCAAGACTCCACAATAGCTATTACAGTAATACAAAGAAACACTTTAAATCAGTATACATCTCCATTTGGTAGCAAAGTTTGGAGTATGGATGAAGCAACTTATAGAACTGAGGGAAAGAGAGGGAGAGAAACCTCAAGTGTGTGGGTGCCCCGCACTGGGGACCTGGCCCACAACCCAGGCTTGTGCCCTGACTGGTAACCAAACCAGTGTCCCTTTAGTTTGCAGGCTAGCGCTCAATCCACTGAGCCACACCAGCCAACACAAGGGTGTAGAATTTGAAACAGATACAAAGAGGACAGGATAGGATACTTCACTCACCCAGGCAGAAAGAAGTAAAACAAAACTATCATCCAGAAAGTGATGGCTAGAGCAGGAATGAAAGGTGTGGAAATTCTGAATTGGGGAGTCAGTGAAATAAAGAGGCATATCTAGAAATGCACAAAAGTATGAAAAGCTGGGCCCATCAGAAAAAGGATTAATGAAGCTAATGCAGCACCAAAAAAGTCTAATGAAACAGAAGTATAGGCATGTCATGGAATATATAACAAGGTCATAATTTTAAAGTGATTCATTGACTATTTGGAACTGGCTGGTGTTTATGCTCTTTATATTGTAGTTCAGATTGCTGTTTAGAAGGCCACATAGTAGTGTTCAAATGATAAATGAAATTTTTATTGAGCAAGGAAAAAATTAGAACAGAACAGCTGTTGGCAGTAAAGACAGAAACGAGAGTAGAAAACAGCCCCGAAGGACAGGCAAAATGTACCATGTGTAATTCATCGTTTGATTGAAAAAAGCCATAGTTTGTCAAACTTTCTAACTTCTTGTCATAATTTTTTATTCCCAGGAATGTTTTTTTTTAAATTATTTTGATAAACTATAATGGTCACAAACATGAAAAGAATAATAAAGTAAATAAATGACATTTCTGTTTCCTTAGATGATAATGATTTGGGTAATTCAAGAAACGCCAAGAGAACCTTAAGTGCAGATGGATTTGAGACACTACAAAGCCAAGTAAAGGATTCAAAAGCAATGTTTCAAACTTACAAAAAGATGTACCTGGAGAAGAGGAGCAGAAGCCTTGGTAGCAGTCCTTTAAAGTAATTTTGAGACTTTAATTCTTCTGATGGTTCTGTAAATGCCATGAGAAAATTTTTGTCATTTTCTGTTCAGAATATTTTGCTGGAAGTATACAGAATTGCTAAAATAAAATTTCTTGGTCAGAGTTTGGTGACCATTTAGGTTATGTATATCATTGAAATTACTTAAAATTGCTTGAGAATCTTATTTGTGGGTAGCAGACAAAAGAAGTAGGTGATATTTGTCAGGAAACCATAATGTATTTCAAAATTATTGAGCCAAGTTTACCATTATTTTAAAAGATTCTTATACAAATCTGATTTTGAACTGCTAACTATATTTTGAGGGAGAACTAGTCTTCAGTTAAGGACTTGTTTATTTTAGCTGTGATTGCAATTATATTTTTATTTCAAAACTTAGTTTTAAGAAGTTATCACTGTGAATGTCAAAGTATATTCCCAAGTATTTTAATACCTAATTGTAAACTTTGTCAAAAGCCTTGTTTTATACTTGTTAAACTGAACAGAATTTTGGATAATACTGAAACATTACTTTTCATACTTGAAATAAATGTTTATTTTTAAAAAATATATATTTGAAATCAAAATGGATTGGTCTGTGTTTGATTTCCTGCTCTCAGGACAGGACACATTTTAGAAAGGTGTTTTTTATTTTTTAAATTAAATTTATTGAAGTAACATTGATTAACAATAAATAACATAAATTTCAGATGTACAACATCATAATTCAATCTGTATTGCATGCTCACGTCCCAAAGCGTAGTTTCCGTCACCATGTATTTGACCTTTTTACCCACTTTCCCTTCCCCTCAGGTGAACACTATTCTGTTGTCCATATCAATGAATTTGGTTTTGTTTCTTTTGTTCATTTGCCTTTTTGTTTTTATATTCCACATTGATTGAAGGCCTATGTCCTTTTTTTCTATTTTATTTCACTTAACATAATACTCCAGATCCATCTGTGTTGTAACAAATGGCAGTATTTAATCTTTACTATGGCTAAGAAGTATCCCATTACATATATATGTGGGTATGTGTCTCACATCTTTTCCCAATCACCCATCCATGGACACAGGTGGTTTCCATGTCTTGGGTATTATAAATAAAGCTACAGTGAACATAGGAGTACATAAATGTTTACAAATGAGTGTTTTCTTATTTTTCAGGTAAAATACCCAGAGGAACAATTGCTGCATCACATGGTAGTTCTATTTTTAGATCCTAGAGGAACCTTTACTGTTTGTATATTTATAATTCCATCAACAAGTGTAGGAGGGTTCACTTTTTACATTTTCTCTAACACTTGCTATTTCTTATAACCAGTCTTAACAGGTGTGAAGTGATATCTAATTGTAGTTTTGACTTCCCTAATGAGTGGTGGTGTTTGACATCAGTTTTCATGTGTTGGCCACCTGAATGCCTGCCTTTGAAAAACATATTCAGGTACTCTGCCCATTTTTAAAGTTGGATTGTTATTTTTTGATTGTTGAGTTGTGTGAGTTCTCTGATTGTTGAGTTCTTTATATATTTTGGATGCATTTTATATGTTTTGGAAATAACCTTTGCAGATATCTTCTCCCATTTATATAAGAGGTTGCCTTAGTCGTTGATGGTTTCTCTTACTGTGCAAAAGCTTTTATGTTGTTAATTTATTTTTTGTTTTCCTTGCCTTTGGATTTAAGTTCACAAAAACACCTAAACCAATACCCACAAGCTCAGTGCCTACATTTTCTTGCATTTATTTTATTGTTTCAGGTCTTACATTCAAGTTGTTCTACTTTGAGTTAGTTTTTGTGTATATGTAAGGTTATAGTCTATTTTTGTTGTTTTGCATGTGACTCTCTAGGTTCCCAATACTAATTATTAAAGAGACTTTCTTTTCTCCATGCTATAGGCTTGGTTTCTTAATCAAAAATTAGTTGTCCATATATGTAGGTTGATTTCTGGACTCTCAATTCTCTTCCATTGATCTGTGTGCCAGTTTTTCTTCCAATACCATATCATTTTTTTTTAAAGAAATGGGCTTTCTTTTTTGTTTGTTTATTTATTTTTAGAGAAGGAAGGGAGAGAGACAGAAACATCAATGTGCAGTTGCTGGGGGTCATGGCCTGCAACCCAGGCATGTACCCTGACTGGGAATCGAACCTGCGACACTTTGGTTCACAGTCTGCGCTCAATCCACTGAGCTACACCAGCCAGGGCTCCAATACTGTATCATTTTGATTGCTGTAGTTTTGTCATATAGTTTTAGTTTGAAGTTGGGGAATGTGTTTCCTCAGCTTTTTCTTTTTTCTTAGGATTATATTGATTATTCAGGGAATTTTGTGATTCCATACAAATTCCAAGATTTTTTGTTCTATTTCTGTGAAAAGCACCACTGGGGTGTTGATTGTATTGAATCTGAAGATTGCTGTAGATCAGGGGTGTCAAACTCATTTTCATGGGGGGGGCCCCACATCACCTTCATGGTTGCCTTCAAAGGGCCAAAATAATTTTAGGACTGTATAAATGTAACTACTCCTTAACTGTTAAAGAGCTGAAATTACTTTTGGCCCTTTGAAAGCAATTGTGAGGCTGATGTGGCCCACGCTGAAAATGAGTTTGACACCCCTTCTGTAGATATATGTCCTTATTAACAATACTAATGTTTCCAATTCATGAACACAATATCTTCCCGTGTCTTTGTGTCTTCAACTTCTTTCAACAATGTTTTTTAACATCCTCGCCCAAGGATATGTTTTTCCAATTTTAGAGAGGAAAGGGGAGAGAGAGGAAACATCAGTTGGTTGCTTTCTGTATGTGCCCTGGCTAGGTATCCAACCTGCAACCTAGGCATGTGCCCTGATCGGGAATACCAACTTTTTTTTGTATACCAGTTGATGCTTCAGCCAACTGTACTACCCAACCAGGGCAACAGTGTCTTGTAGTTTTCAGTGTACAGGTCCTTTACCACTGTTTAATTGAATTTATTGGGTTTAGATTGGTAAATGAGATTACACAGGTTTCAAGGATACAGTTCCATAATACATCATCTGTGTATTGCATTGTGTGTTCGCATCCTAAGTCTAGTCTCCTTACATCACCATTTATTCTGTTTACCCTCTTTCTTGACCCCATCCCCCTTTCTGTCTGGTAATCACCGTGTTGTCTAGGTTTTCTCTTTTGCTTAATCCCTTCACGTATTTCACCCAGCCCTCCAGTATTCCTCCCCTCTGACATGTCAGTTCTCTGTATCTATGAGTCTTTCTATTTTGTTTATTTTATTAGATTATATATATGAATAAAATAATTTGTATTTATCTTTCTTGGACTGACTTTTTTCTGAGAAACATGGATGTGAGAGAACTCAACCTAGGTATGTGTACCCTGATTGGATATTGAACCCATGACCTTTTGATATATGGGAAGATACTCCAACCAACTGAGCCACCCAGCCAAGGCATGTACCACAGCTTTTTTATCTACTCATCTACTAATGGTGACTTGAGCTGCTTCCAAATCTGGGCTATTATAAGTAGCGCTGCATTGAACATCAGAGTGCATATATTCTTTGAATTACTATTTTAGGTTTCTTTGGATATATTCCCAGAATGGAATCACTGGGTCATAAGGCAGTTCCTCCTTTTTTTTTTTTTTTTTTTTGGGTGGGGGGAAAGGCCATATTTTCCACATTGGCTGCATCATTCTGCCTACCCATCCATAAGCAAGAGGGTTCCCTTAATAAGTGTTCTGTGAGTTTGGTCTGGAGACTTCATTTTCTTTCTGTGCTACCATCTTACTTTGTAGGTACTTGATGGGTTTGAGCTAGTGAACTCTTGCTTAGATACTGATTTGCTGTTAATTCAGGTTAATGAGTAGAGGTCTCTTCTTTTCCAGTAGATGGTGCTGTGGTACAAGTTTTGTTTTTCCTGCACTACTGGTAGGATAGCTGCGGGGCTGCATTGCTTTCGTCATGGAGTGGATGTCTCCTTTTTGTCTGGGTTACCTCAGTCTTAAGGGAACATCATGGATATGGGGGCATGTGGCTGGGTTGTGGGTAACTACAATAGATTTTCAGTCTCCCAATGCTGCTTCCTTGTTACAAATAGCAGCTGACCCTGGCCAACCCTCTGGCCTGATTGATACATCTCCACTGCCTCTGCTATGTTCTGCCAAAATGGCTGGGGGAAGGGAGGCATGTTCACCAATCTGCAGTACTACCTGCTTGTTAGTAATGGTCCCTGGCACCACTGTGGTATTGAATGCCTTCAGCTGTTGCCAGCACGTTGTGTGGTAATGGGGGATGGAAAGGAAGCCGGTTTCTTAGGCAAATATTCTGGTTCTTTGCCTCTTACTTTGCTGGTGTGTGTGTTAGTTTAGTTTTTTGTTCAGTGGGACAGGACAGGTGCTCAACTGCCTATTGGACCACTGTCCCTGTCCTTCCACCTATCCTTCCCCTACTCATTCTAATATGCCCTTCAGCTGTCCCAATGTGTGCATCTCTTGGGCATCCCTCTTTTAGCAGAGGAACCTTTTTTTGAATTACAGATGTCTGATTTGTAGCAGTTTTAACAAGAGTACAAATGGGTCTTCTCTCACCACCATGATGCTGATGCCATTCGGGTGCTTTTAAAGGAGAAATGATAATTAGGCTGTAACATGTAAATATTTGCAGGTATTTAGATGAACAAAAATTGTACTTGGTTCAGGAAAGTGCAAGGAAGCATGGAAGACAAAATATAACTTCAAATGTTTCTGTGTATTAGTTTATGATTACTAGAAAAGTGTTGGCTATTTTTATAAAATCTTAATGCTATATAATTTATTCATTTAAACTACGGTTTTGCAAGTAAGAGGAAATTCAGAATTGTTTAATGGGTGTATAGTTTTGGTTTTCCTAGTGTGAATATTCTTAACATTACTGAACTGTACACTTAAAAATCCTTATGATGGTAACTTTTATGTGTATTTTGGCACAATTTTAAAGTATTGTGAAGTCAAGAAGACTGCACTCACAATGTTAAGCAGCTGTGTTTGAGTGTTTAATAGCAATTCTCTGAATGGTACTGGTAGTCTTTATATTGGTCATTGTATTCTTTACTGCTGGGAACTCTCAGAATTTTTTAACAAATCTTTTCTCATTTAAGAGTATCTCTGTTAAGGCAATGAAAATTGCTATTAAGTTTCAGCTCTTAAGTATACATCTTTTCAACATCCTGTGATGAAATACCAAGTACACAGAAAGAACTGCATGTGTCCGAGCCTAATCTGAAGCAGAGATGCAGAAGCACTGATGTGTGGTGGCCATTGAGGAAAAACAGGAAAACAGATGTTTGGCTTATAAACTGAACTAGTTCTCTGAAACTTCAGTTTAACTTCAATGAATCATTGATGGACCTTTTTCTCAAACTGCATCCTGACATTTCAAGGAGAATAAAAGTATCGTTGCTAATGCTAAAATCTGAGCTTTCCAAGAAAAGTTAGGATTTTAGAAAACTTGTATCTGGGGATCCTGAGCTTGACTGCATGCCACTGTGATGGGATGTATGCTAAAATGTGTCAGTATTTGGAAGATCTGCATAACTGAGTGAACCAGTATTTTATGATGATGAATGCAAAATGTTAAGATAGCCATTCAAAAGCCAACTAAACCAATGGATTTTAGTAGAAGAATGAGAAAAGTTCCATGTGACTTCAGCTTCCATATTACAACTAACCTTTTGGAAACAACTGCTTATCAATTTTGGTACAGTATCAAAGAAGAATATGATTGTCTGAAAAGGCTATTAAGAGCACTTGCTCTATACGCAGAAAAAGCTACGTATGTATATAAGATTAGATTTTCTTAACATATATCAAGCAAGACAACATAACTCAACAACAGACAATGCACAAATTGACCTGAGAATTCAGCTGTTCTCTCTAAAGTCAGAAATTAAAGAGATTTATGAAAGTATAAAATACCAGACTTCTCAATTTTCTTGTTCTGATAAATAATGTTTTTCATAAAAATGTTACTTATGTAGCCATGTAATAGACTCAGTTTTACATGAAAAATACTTGAAAATTTGTTTCAGGGGAGTGTTCAGGGGGAAATGAAGGCAACTGTACTTGAACAACAGTTTTTTAAAATGAAAAAAAAAATTTGTTTCAATTTTGGAATAATACTTGGAAATTCCTCAATTTTTACGATTGTAAAAAAAAATCTCTTAGAATGGTTACAGTGGTGATGCAGGAACAGGCACAATTAAATGGATATGTTCAGTCTTGCATGATTGCCAAAAAGTCAATATTAACTTTTAAATACTTCTTAAAAATCCTAAACCATCCCTGGCTGGTGCAGCTCAGTAGATGGAGTGCTGGCCTGTGAACCAAAGGGTCGCCAGTTGGATTCCCAGTTAGGGCTAATGCCTGGGTTGATGGCCAGGTCCCCAGTAGAGGGTGCTCAAGAGGCAACCACACATTGATGTTTCTCTCCCTTCCCCTCTCTAAAAATAAATAAAATATTTTTTAAAAATCAAGCCATTAGTGTTGCATGTAAGTACTTAACAATATTGGATTGACTGCTATCAGTATTTGTTTAATAGTTATTTTTATGTTAGGTATTGCTTTTACATGTTAAGACTATTTCAAAGGTTAATTTCAGGAACAAATGAGAAAACTATCCATCTAAAGAGTTAGCTACAGAAAACAATAATGTATGAAAGCTAGTTTTAGAGTAAAAAATATAGAGAAATCCATCTGGATGGTGACATCGATCAACATCTTACATATGCTTTATTTCCTGGAGTTAAATGAGCAAATATTAAATACCTATAGTGTACAAAGCTTGTGGAAAGCACAGTACTAAGATAGAAGCTGCAAAGATGTGTAAAAACAAGTTCTTAGGAACCTCCAATCTAGAAGATGTGAAAAAAGCAAGTGTCCAAAAGTCAATGGATATTTGTTAGAGGCATAAATGTTACGGGAGAATAAAAGAGATGAAAAACAATTACTTTAAAAGCTTTCCTATTGACTTTGGAATGCCTTCTATTGCCTTATAGCCAGGTTAA